CAAAAATTTGATTTATTTATTATTAAATTTTACTATAACAGAATTGAAGATGAAAATATAAAAGATAAGTTTAAGGATTATCCTGATGTTTCTTTTTGTATTAGTTACATCAAATTGAAAGTAATAATGATAATGATAATATAAAGGATATAGAGGAATAAAAAAAAATTGATAAATAAATATATATATAGTGTGTCAATATGAGTATAGTATATAACCATATATGCATACTCGTGATTATAAATTGGTTTGTTAAATTTATATGGTAATATTTGAAAAGTTTATTTTTGACGCGCAGACCCCATCAATATTTTAATAGATCGTGCTCCTACCGAGAGAATAATAATTCATGTTACAAAAATATTAATAGATAGATACAATAGTAAACAAGACAAGTTGATTTTTGAAAAGAAAAAAGAAAGATGAATCTATTAATATATATAAATATAATCCTTAATGATTTATAAACATGATTAGATTTACGTTAAAATGAAGATCGTAGGCAAGGAGATAAAAACGGCGATCGGCAGATAATGTAGATTAGCAAAGAACTCCTGTTTGTCCATGATTTCGATGTATAATCGTTGTCAATGTTAAAGCCAATGATGATGATGTTAATCGTCGACGTCTGCGATCGACGCCGTTATCGGATAGAATCTTGCATCGATGCAGCCGCCGACGAATTATGATCATTCATATTCCCTGATGGCTAGTCATAGGCCTTTTATTCCTTTCTTCATTAAGTATCAATCTCTGTGACGTCTAAACCGACAACAGCACCGCGATTCAATTGCCATTAATATTTCCTCGATGAATTCTGCAAGAGAAATTACTGTCGTTATTTTTTTATGCGAACAATACATATTATCTTATATAATATATTACGACTTGTTTCATCGGTGCGAGAGAGATAAACGGTGAATTCTGTGATTATGATTGACAACAATTATTTCCGCCACAAACGTGAAAAAATAAGGTTTTTTAATAATTTTTTATGTAACGGATATTTCGTGAAGAATATGTAACATTTTTTATATGTATGCTCGTTTTTTATATGTAATTCCTCATATTTATTATTTATTATATATAATTATTTAAATAATTATAGCTATAAAATATAACTATGAATTACACGCAATTTTATGTTCTCTCTTATATGAGAATAATTTTGTGCAATACATTTAGTAATTTATACAACATTTCTTAATAAAAATTTAAACAATTTTTTTTAAATTTGCATCAAGTTATAAGTTTTGAGAGATAAGAAACATTATTTTATTCACTAAGTGCATCTATAACGTCCGCAATTTATAAATTTATCTCTGATCAGTTGCCTGTACATTAAATACATCGGTCATTTTATTCATGATTTTATTCTTATATCGAAGGATTTCCTTCATCATTTCTTGTAAATCATAATCGAAATAGACGGCAAGAGATGCTGAGAAAGCCTGTTCTTGCGGTATCTTTGATATTACTTGGTACACTTGATATTACTTTGATACACTTGGAGAAGGAATTTAATTCTTTTATAAAATATTTAGAGAATATTTTAACTTTAAAATTTTTACTATCATTAGTGACCATTTAAAATTGTTACCTTTTTGACTTTTAATTGTTTAATTTAATTTTTACTAATGATACATATTTAGTAGCACATGTAGATTAATTATTATAGATACGATATTATTGTTAATTAAACAATAATTATTTGCGTTACCTAAATCTTTGTACCTTCTATTTTTAAGATTAAAATTTATAATTAAGCTTCTTTATATGCAACTAATTTTATAATTTGAATCAAGATATTCTAAGATAGTTATTTAGTAGATATAATAAAATATAAACCAATAATAAAAATTTTATAAGTTATTATAATAATAAATAATGCAGAGTTTCAAAAAGATAAAAGTTCCAAGTTGTTGATAAACGGAAATTAAAAGAGATCAAAGCGCGCGTACATGTATTTAAGAAAATGGCAAAAAGAAAGAATTCTTAGATATAAGAGTAAAATCATCGCTAGTATAACACATGTGTGGCAATAAATAGAGTTTATACATTGTGGACTTTACAGCGTCATTAGTGACCATTTAAAATTGTTATCTTTTTGACTTTTAATTGTTTAATTTAATTTTTACTAATGATACATATTTAGTAGCACATGTAGATTAATTATTATAGATACGATATTATTGTTAATTAAACAATAATTATTTGCGTTACCTAAATCTTTGTACCTTCTATTTTTAAGATTAAAATTTATAATTAAGCTTCTTTATATGCAACTAATTTTATAATTTGAATCAAGATATTCTAAGATAGTTATTTAGTAGATATAATAAAATATAAGCCAATAATAAAAATTTTATAAGTTATTATAATAATAAATAATGCAGAGTTTCAAAAAGATAAAAGTTCCAAGTTGTTGATAAACGGAAATTAAAAGAGATCAAAGCGCGCGTACATGTATTTAAGAAAATGGCAAAAAGAAAGAACTCTTAGATATAAGAATAAAATCATCGCTAGTATAACACATGTGTGGCAATAAATAGAGTTTATACATTGTGGACTTTACAGCGTATACTAATGAACATCTCAATGAATTCAATAATAATGACATTCATTTAATCTATTATGCATCAGAAATTTATATTGAACCCGGTTGAGAGATATAGCAAGGAAGACTACATTATACGCTTATGTAAATAATACCGTGCTGATAATAATAGCGCTTACGCGACACGTCTCGCGTTTAATGAACGTGCGAATTGTCACACGGGCGTTGTCTGCGTGAAAGAGTGAAGCGTGCGGTTAAGCAAAAAGTCACACATACGAGATCCAAGCGGATATGACAAACTAGAAATCCCCAGTTAAATAACATTTTCCCGTTGTCGTTATCCGCTCGTTATGAGCTAAAAATAAAATCGCTAAATGACACGATCGATGATATTTATAATAGCGTGCAGTGAAAGTGATAATTTACATTCGTGTTTACTTTTACGATACGCAGAATGCTTATCGAAAAGAGATTTTGCGTTAATTAATTTTCTGTTACTCTTTCCGTGTTATTTGCAAAATTAAAATCGAAATTGCCGTAAAACGCACTTGACAACACATCGGGCGACGCACAAAGAATTTGCACCCTGAAAACGATGGTCCCTCCCGTTCCTCCTCTACTCCTTCATTCGTAGGGTTTCTGAGACTTGTCGGAGTCGGAGCTCTTCGTAATCGTCACTTTGCGATGCATATATCGAAAGTCGCGGCGAATATCACGCGCAATTGGAAATTTAGGCGGGAAGTCCACTTGTCAGCTATCTCGTTCAAATTTTTTCGGAGGACAAAACTGGGTAGGATTGCGTTGAAACTCGTCGGGAAATGCGAAGGCTACGACCCGTGGAGGTGCGCGATCGATGTTGCGTCAACGGAGAAAGTTCCAAGTTGTTGATAAACGGAAATTAAAAGAGATCAAAGCGCGCGTACATGTATTTAAGAAAATGGCAAAAAGAAAGAACTCTTAGATATAAGAATAAAATCATCGCTAGTATAACACATGTGTGGCAATAAATAGAGTTTATACATTGTGGACTTTACAGCGTATACTAATGAACATCTCAATGAATTCAATAATAATGACATTCATTTAATCTATTATGCATCAGAAATTTATATTGAACCCGGTTGAGAGATATAGCAAGGAAGACTACATTATACGCTTATGTAAATAATACCGTGCTGATAATAATAGCGCTTACGCGACACGTCTCGCGTTTAATGAACGTGCGAATTGTCACACGGGCGTTGTCTGCGTGAAAGAGTGAAGCGTGCGGTTAAGCAAAAAGTCACACATACGAGATCCAAGCGGATATGACAAACTAGAAATCCCCAGTTAAATAACATTTTCCCGTTGTCGTTATCCGCTCGTTATGAGCTAAAAATAAAATCGCTAAATGACACGATCGATGATATTTATAATAGCGTGCAGTGAAAGTGATAATTTACATTCGTGTTTACTTTTACGATACGCAGAATGCTTATCGAAAAGAGATTTTGCGTTAATTAATTTTCTGTTACTCTTTCCGTGTTATTTGCAAAATTAAAATCGAAATTGCCGTAAAACGCACTTGACAACACATCGGGCGACGCACAAAGAATTTGCACCCTGAAAACGATGGTCCCTCCCGTTCCTCCTCTACTCCTTCATTCGTAGGGTTGCTGAGACTTGTCGGAGTCGGCGGAGCTCTTTGTAATCGTCACTTTGCGATGCATATATCGAAAGTCGCGGCGAATATCACGCGCAATTGGAAATTTAGGCGGGAAGTCCACTTGTCAGCTATCTCGTTCAAATTTTTTCGGAGGACAAAGACGCTCTCGGCAGCTTGCACCGCGCCGGACCGTCGCCGTCATCGCCAGCGCTGTCGGCGTCGTTACTGTCTGACCAACACATTCGCCAAGGACTGTTTCTCCTACCATACTCTGACAATGAGCGTTTTTTGTCGCTTTCGTGTATTCGTCGTTCGCGTTCTTGGAATTAATAGCGACAGCTATATGAAAAACAAAGTTGGAGAATTATTGTTAAACTTAATTGATTTTGATTTTGATACCGATAAAAATTTGATAAGAATCCATTCGAGCTTCGATTTTACTATTTCAATGTAATTTTATTAAACCTAGGACTGAGATTGTTATAATTTTTAAAAATATATAAATTAAATTGAATATAAAGGAGTGTCTTGAATTCTAATATATTTTTTACGCAAGATTCAAGTTAATATAAATAATCTCAAGATTATCATTCTTTTAGAAAACAAGAATAATTAGAAAATTTAAGCTCTCTTTTTTTCTTATAAAATATTAAAACAAGTATAACAATTATAGTATATTATTGTGTTATTTTTATATCCTTTGATTTTAAATTCTTATCACTATTGAAAATAAAATAAAAAGATATAATTTTTATTTTATTTTTAGATTTGTGAATTTTTTATTAAATATTTGTGCAATTATTATTTTTATTACTAGATTGCAAAACATAATAGTAAAATTAAGATAACTAAGATAAAATTTATTTTTTCTAACATTTGAAAAACTCAGAGAATTGAAAGATAAAGAGTAGATGTAATAATGGAAAAAAGTTACATATAGTATACAAATATAAAAATTATTTATGACAAATAGTATTGACACTGTTATGTTTAGTTGTATCTAATGTGTATAGATACTGTCAAGAATTTTAACAGATATAATATTTGTTATCGATAATTTACTTTCATTCGATAGATGCAATTCCTTTTTTTACGAAAGGAGATATTATCATATGGTAAGTTAACGCGTAACATATTTCTATCATTTATCGTTAGCATTGATGCTGGTTTTTCGATTATTGAAATTAGAGAACATCTTTGGTGAATTATATTTGACTAGTATTTCTTTTCTTTTATAAGTAGTTTTTTGCATACATTATGCAATGTAATTTTTTTTATTAAGCGATTTTTTTTTTTTAAGCGGGATATGTATGAAGACATTAATTAATGTGTGAAAAAATTAGTTAATCTATTTAATTAATCTCTCTAGCTTTCTCTCAATATCTTATACTGTATAACAATTAAGATTATATATATATGTAAAAGCATTCTATATTACCTTCTTCAGTAATTAGAATTATTGTTCTAGAAATATTTACAGAATTCAATTTTTAATTAATCTAAATTTTCATACAATATACATATAATACAAAAAAATATCTCGTATAAATTTTCATTATTAAAGCGATTTTCTTTAGACTATGTATAATTTGTGATAAAACTCATGACAGTTCTATTTATGATTTTGTGTCATATATTTTAATATTTTTTATGTATTATGTGTATTTTGATATATATTTTAATTTATATGTATATTTGAGCTCTTCAAATGTTTTCGGTATTACATAATATAATTTAAATTAAAAATTATATTTAACCTGATAGAAAAAGTCTAGTTAAAGTTTCTAAAAAATAAGAGAAACAGGTTATATGTACTTACTGAAAATATTTGATATTTTTTTCTTTAAAATATTTACTGGAACAGTCAAATATGCTACAAGTCATTTTTATTTTTATATTTGCACTATATATACACTTGATATTTTTTAATTTATTTTTACTTTGAAACGTATACGTTTAAAAAAATGAATGAATGACGTTTAAATGACACATATCGAATTCATATCGAATTCTGCAATATCCGATATGATATTCTTCCAATTGTAAATTTGTAAATGGTTGCCCTTGTTTCACATGTCATTATATAAGACAGCTGTGTGTATATGTTAGCAGTCTAATATATACATATATAGAAGTCTGTGCATAAAATTCATAAATAGAATTCTTTTTTGAATTTTGTCGCGGATCACAGATCGTCAAAAGAGATCTTTAGATATGATGTAATAGTTATTATATATAAACATAGAATTTTCTATTTTCTTTAGTTAGTTAATTAACTACAGAAAGTGATATTATTTTCCAAATTTTTCTCGGAGAATATCAATAGATTATGTAATGCATAAATTACATTAAGTATATCTTATATATTTATTTTCAGTTCTCCCTATATTTCTATTTTTTAAAATTTTTTAAAAGAATAATTGGTAAATATGCATAAAAGGTCATATCTTACCGATTTAATTGCCATATATATTATAGGAGGGATTCTGAGTAATTCCCCGCAAGAATCAAGGTGTGGTCGACATTGGTTTAGGAGATATAATAAATTAAAGTTTGATAATTTTAATGCTTTTTCTTAGGTATTACAAAGTAATATTAAGAAAAATAAAGTTTGTGTATGTTCATTGTATTTGTTATAGGATAGACACATGGAAAAAGTATTTGTTTACATTTACGGTATAGATTTTGTCAATAATTGGTTTCATCTATTTCTCGCAGTTTGTTAACAGCTTTCAACATGTGATTACATGAATTTCTGTGTCATGTCTTGAAAAATATTATTTATTGAATGCGTGAGCGGGGGAGGGACGGAGCCCCTTACGCTCACGCGTAAATGTCGCAAACCTTCGCCTAGAAATTTGCAGATCTGTATGGAACGATGCAATAATAGACCTCTTGTTTCGTACTGAAAGCAGAGGTGATATGAGGTGGACCTCGCTTTGTCTAGAAAGTTGCAAATCCATGTGACACAATACAATGATAGACCTTGTTTCATCCACCATTGTTGACAAAATATTTTAGGTCATAAATAGATTACTACGACATACATAAACACGACTGTTCCTAATATCAGTTTATAATACCTAAGGAAGAGCATTAAAATTGTCGAATTTTAATTTGTTATATCTCCTAAATCAATGCCTATTGCCACTTGATTCTTGCGGGGAATTACTCACAACATTTCTCCTTACAACATCTCTAAGTGGCGATTAAATCAGTGAGGTGTGACTTTTTATGCATATTTATCCTTATTTAATAAATATTTATTTAAAAACATTGGTAACTAAAGTTATTATAGCGGAGGTATTGAATACAGAATTGATGACAAAAGATAATTTTTATCTCTATCTCTTATTTGATTTATTTTCAGATTATTTTATAAAATATGTTTTATTATTATGAATGTAATTGCGCGCACACATACCATTAATATAGTAATTGCTATAAAAACAAAAATTGACTGTCATAGTTAAGCCGCATAATTAATCATAATTGATGATATGAGTCTTAAATTTCTTTGTCTGCACTCGCAATGTATCTAATCTTGCGCTGTTCAGATATGATATTGCAATTCTTGATAATGGCATACTTATCACTGGCTATATAATTATAACGTGTCTTACAATTGTATTTAAATTAATGGCATTGTTAGATAAAATTTTTAAGGAAGAGAAAGTCAGCTAACAACGCAATGTATAACGATTTTCTTCTTATTCAATAGTATTATACATAGCTTGCATTCTTAATTAATATTTTTTTGTATTTTGTTTTTTACAGACGTAGGAAATTCATATATTGACTCTAGGCTTTCTGTCGTGATAGGCTCAATTACTGTTTTTTTTAACACTTTGCAATATATATGTATATGTTACATTCTCCTTGTTAATCTTTTGTTTTTTTTTTCTTTCCGATAATGTATAATAACTGTCGGAGATATAAGATATATTATATAGAGAGATTGGATGTGTGTGCAAGATTAAATATAGCTAGTACTATATATCTAGTGGAAACTTGACAAATTGATGTAGAAAAGAAATTACGTATCTTGTTGCGTTGTCGCTTCCGTTTTGTGTGGCATCGCCGTGTTCTCGATTTTATCCAAATACATTAACTAAAACAAAATTATTTATAAAATTAATGCATGAAATATTATGTATTATTATGGTTAATACCGCAAGGGACTATTTCGAGGATGATGAAGACCATTAATTGTTTTGGCAAGCTGTTAATTTTTTGTACATAAATTCTGATTATTTTTGGTTACCATCGCGTATATAGTTTTATATTTAAAACTAATTATAAAAAACATTTTTGATTGTTAAAATTTATAATTGTAAATGTATAACAAAATCTTATTCTTTATCATTAAACTTTTTTCAATTTTAATTTAATTAGATTTTTCAAGTAATAATAGTGATAGCTTAATGATAAATATTAAGAAAGTTCTGATAGAAAATAATCCTTTATTTTCTGAAATTTGTAAAGAATTCAATCAAAAAATTTGTAGCAAAAAAGATATACACAGCAGCAGTAGAATATCACATACATTAGAAGTTTATAAACTTCGGGACAGAATTTAATAAACGCAAAGAGCCGATATTCTAGCGTAACTTTTTAAACAAAAAAAAAATGCTACTATATTAATAAATAATTGAGGTACCGTAACTACGGGGTCTTCAAAGTTAATTAATCGAAATTCCAAAACAAACGTCAGAAGAAATGCGCAATAGACTATTGCGAGAATCCATTCGCATGTAGTACTCGCGACATGCCAGCCCCAACCACCGTCTGCCGGTAGCCACTTCTTGTAATCATTACCTGTATTACAAGTTAAATTCATATTTTATTTACTGTAAAAATATCTTATAATTAAAAATATTTAAGCCACCTTATTTTAATTTTATTTAACGGTAAGAATAATTTTTTATTTAGATAGAAATAAATAAATATATATATATAGGAGTTAAAAATCTTATATATGAATACACTTTTTCGTTCGTTTGCAACTTTCGACGAATGAGAATCTAGCCATTTTGTATATAAATAACTACGGAATCTCGCTTAATATTTGTTAGATATATACAATGATGATTTATAATTTATAACACGTATTTGCTTACCTTGAAATTCAGACATCGAGATATAGCCAGGAATGATCGTTGCAATCGTTAATATCAATGTGAGAGCCGAGAGAATTGCGCGCACATAAACGACAATCGTGCCGTTCATAGCTGGTACCATCTTATAACTCAAATATGTCTAAAACAATTAGTATTATAATAATTATTTCTCGTGACGATAAAATTATTTTTATTTTTAATATAAAGATTATTCATTCCATCACTTCTAACTACTTTAATACTGCTTTAAGGATAAATGTTTAATCGGCATTGCATCATAGAGTGGCTGTAACATTGTCGATAAGTTAATGTCTTTCACGAAAATACCCACGGTAAAACATAACGATCTACATTACGATGTACCTGAAAACAGAAATAGAGAGTGCCAGCAGAGAAGCAAGTCATCGCTCCCACCATATGAGCGGCGATTACGCGAGCCTCTTGAAAATTGGCAAGTATGTCTAAACCGAAACAAGCGAGGATGCCACAGCACGCGGTCACCGTAATAATTCTTCTGCTTACAAGATCACGACCTCTCTCTATTTGCCATTGCAGTACTTGTCGATGCCTAATGTAGACGCAGCATCCGACTGTGAAAGTTGCAGATCGAGAAATTTTTATTATGTCTAAAAAGAATTTATCTAAATCACTTCTCTAGCTCTCTTCTTTTTTCTGTATCTTTTTATTATGCTGTTATTATGCTTGTTATATTATTAATTTAATTTAATTTTATTGCTATTTAAATTATCTCTGTTTTTAAATTTTGTATTATTTAGGAGGTTTTTTTTTATATTTCTGCGTATTTAGTAATGAATCTTATTAAGATCTTTTTCTTCATTTTTTTATTTATTGAACTATTTTGGAAAAATCTAGATCTTAAAATGTGAGACAAATATTTAATTTAATCTCTGAAGAATTTTAAATGGTATATACATACGTAAAAGAGCTGCAATGTTTAGGCATTGCGCAAATATGCAGGATTCCGGTGATAATGTGCCGGTCTCTGATATATAAGGGAATCCAGGCACCACGTGGTCCCATTGCACCGATATGGTGTATCTGAAACATGAACCATTCATAAACTATAAACATGTGACGTGAACAAGTATATAAAACGCTCGCATCATGTTTCTTCGACTTTCTCGACCGCTCGCAAAGCTCTTTTATGATTAGCTCTTCATCGTTAATAATTCTGCATTTACTATTCGAACAGATATTTTAAAATACAGCATAATCTGTAAAACAATCTATCCTTTATTTCGAATTAATCAAATTACGTACATATCTAGAATATTTATTTTCCTAAAATTTTATTTATCTTTATTTTAAAGAATAAAGGTAAAAAATAATGATTTAAAAAAATAAAGATAAAGATAAAAATATTATTTGTAAACTTTTAAAGATTATTTGTATAATATATATTAAATAGGATAAAATAATAGAATAATAGAGGAGATAATATATTTAAATCAATTAATTTTTTTCCAAAAGAATACTACGTGTATTATATCGATATAAAAAGATATATTCTGTTGTTTCTGATACGGCAATCTTGATATAGTATATAATTCTTTCAATCACAATATTATTTTCAATGAAAAACATAATCTTGAAAATATGTTATACTACAAGGATATCATCAGAATAATTTATCTATATTTTTGTGGTTATACTTTAATCATGTTTTTAAGATTCTGAGAATAAATAAAAAAAGTATATCAATTGGCTTTTTCATCAAGTTTATTGTCGATAGTAATTGGCATAATAAAATTGGATTTGATTATAAATTTTGTATTGATTTCTCGTATCACATTTAGCATCTAATTTTGAAAAGAAATTATTAATTGACAGTGCAAGCGAGATATAAATAAGTTAAAACTCGTTAAGAAAGATGAATAATACAAATAGCTATTAGAAAGTTAACAAGCTAATTGAAAATTTGGATGATAGGAAAATTGTTTCAGAGACTATAATACCTTAAATTTTGATTTATACTGAAAAATGTATTTGTCCTGCTTTACGTTTGACCTCTATCATTCTCCATTAAAAAATTGCAGACTTACGTAATTACGAATGTCACGGGAATCAAGATGAAGAGACTCAATGGTAATACGTGTAGTTTCCCGTACGCCATTCCCGTTTCGTCACCCTCGGTACTGCAAGATACGGTCGTTCTTATCACGCGTTGTTATCGTGCGGTTCGGTGCGTCCTATACCTGCACCTGTACACATTCTTCATCGGGATGATCAAGATTGGTGGCGATGCGATAGCTTGGTACGATCGATGGATTGAAAAGGACAACGAGAAGATTGGACTGATTGAAGGTGGGGTTGAAGTGACACATATTTTAGTTGAATTCATATAAAAGATTCGGCCAAAATGGCCCAAGAGACCGCTGGAAGACTGTCTGCGTGATTTATAATGTTCATTCCATGATATCGAGGGTGGTATCGGAGATAAAAAATTATATCTTTTTTTCCAATTATATCGCAGTTTTAATAAATCTCTTGATATATTTAAGTGAACACACATATACATCTAAAGTAGAGCAAATAAGTATAACAAATATAAAAAATAATAAATATGAATAAACATAGAGTTTTATCTCATCATCAATCAATGCTGTAGGATCATTATGTGAAGCATAAAAAATTTATTAAATCAAATCGCTTTTCCCATCCCTCTCTCCTATAATAGTAAGTCATTCGAGAAAACTCGGCTCATTATTAAGGAAAAATCACAAAAAGGAAAACATAAAATTTTATTATATAAACTTTTGTTTAATAAAATGAGAAATAAGATTTTGTATTGCAAGAGAAATAACAGAAGAAAGACAAGGAAATTCATAGAGCGAAAATTTGATAATTCATGACAATCGAATTCTGCTACTGAAAAAGATTGTCGACACTCACCTTCAGAACCTCGTCAAGTTTTGCAACTTTTCTAATAAGAATATATTATCACGACTCATGCCACGGGAGCACTTAATCGTGAAGCGCTTTGAAGCGACTGTCCACTATTGTGCTACCTTTTAACGTACGTACCGATCGCCACGCACACGATTACGTGCTAATTAACATGTGAGGCGAGACTATGATATACATGCATCCGATATTTGATTTATTTTTTAAATACATTTCTATGAGAAGATTTCGATTAAAAATAAGAAACAATGATAATATTTATGTACGCGCTTGATCTTGATATGCTTATAAATGAAATTAAATAAGAATAATTTGACTGAAATTACTTATAATCAAAGGCGTTAACGAAATGAGAGAGATAATCTCTTAAATTAATTATTCTAATCAAACTAGTATTAAGTTGTTTAGTAACTGTTACATATATATATAGAAAAGAAAATTTAGAATATATATTTTGAAAATATAGAAACAAAAAATATAGAAAAAGTGTAAAATTATATATGAATTTTGCGTGTCTTGAAATTAATATAAAAAGTTTAATATCATTTTTGCATTATTTATAACACTATTTTTTAATACTTTAACACATAAACTTAATACTTTTTCTTAAGGTCAAGTGCACGTGAATTAATATTTCTTATTTTCATATCAGCATTTTAGGATCATTTTAGTTTTAAAGAGCAGAATTGAATCATCAATTAATAGATGATTCAGGAATATAAATCTTTGAGTGTCATTAAATTAAACGTACGAACGACCACGTGCGACGTAACGCACGCTTCACTTGAAACTAGTAGGTAGATCAGGAATTTGCAATTAACGCGACGCTATCGACACTACGTTTATTGAAATGGTAATGGGGCCGTTTGGCAATGCTATTTCTAACTCGACCCAATTTCAGATTGTTTCTACTGCTGCACGCCGTAACCATTCCATGATAATGAAACATCCATTTGAAATTGGGAGACTTTTCGTTTAGGAAAAAATGTAGAGGAAATCTATAATCAGGATATTATAAAAAAATCACATACGCGAATTACATATTTGAATCACATTTTTATATCAACAACATTACGACAATACAATACGCTCAGCAATTTTTGTTTGATGTTATGTTGTCTTATCGCTATGGTACATTTAACAATTTATTTTACTTATGAAATAATTTGGTAATGGTTATTGTTTCTTGGACGATTACTATATCTACATACATTTGTTGTTAAAAACAGAAGTCTTTTAGAAAAACTTAATGTAGCATTCTTGAAACTTGGCAATATACATATTAAAACCAGAAATAATCATAAATTATTTCGGTTTTCAATTTTTTAATTAATTAGTTTTACTTTTATTGTTTTTCGAACATTTTTAGGTGAACATTTCTTGTCACAGTATGTGTCCGTTAACATGGCAGTATTTTCTTAATGGCAGTAACTTGAGAGAGTTTTAGTAAAAAGCATTTATTAATATTGGACGCAAGATATGTTTTTTTGGCAAGTTTTAATATCATCTTTTAAATGGCAGTCAATTAGTACATTACTAATTTTTATATTAATTATATCAATAATTATAAAAGAATGCACGTCTCGTGCACAAAAAAGTGTATTTTAAATATCAATTATTTTTATTGCATGAATGAATTGTTTGCGTTTAAATCAAACCGTTGAAACTCGCAAATATTTATGAAATTTTTTCTCAAATGCAGATCCATCGTTTAGTTGATATAAGTAATTTTTTCTTTTTATAAAGTTTTTGTTTGCTCGGTAAAGATATAATATTGTTTCAACAAAATCTTAATTTGTATAGATAAATTTTCAAACAGAAAAAATGTGATTGCTGTTATAAATATCATAATAATATCGGCCGACAATTGCATATGTTTAAAAAATAAGTGTATATATACATGGCTTAATATTGAATATTTACGTTCTAATATAAATAATTTTATAAATAAATAGATGCGTATTGTTATCTGAAGTCGATCGCCGGGTTTTATTATGGAGCTAGTCCCGAAGAAAGTCATGAATAATTATATACGTAATGCATCTTGCATTTTCATATTTTCACAAGTACTATCGTTACTAAAACGCGACCGGACTAGTTTTTATATCTTAAATTAATGTGTCTGCATATAGTTAATTTTCATTTGCACAGTCAATTATTATTTACAATTATAACGAAAAATATATTGGCATTTTATTTATGAAAATTGACAATTAATATCAAAATAATCAAATAAAATTTTTAGTGAAATTTTTGGTTATATATATATATATTTTTTTTTTCTTCTATCAGCTTTTATTACATTGTATTAGAGTTACAGAAGTAACTTATTAGAGAAAATAATTTAATATATAAAATTAGATCTTTATCAAATGCTTTAAAATTGAAAAATATTATTCAAATATAATTTATGATATATTTTTTTGTCAATACCATGTCCATTACGATTATATTCTCAATTTCTTTATCGGTCGCATAACAATCATTTGTGAATTATTTGTACCAAGAGTCTGAGCTTGCTATTTCATTTGTGTAATTAGCAGATACCTTCAATTCTCTGAAGTGCTATAAGGCTTAAAATATAATATCATTAATAAGTTAATTATAGCATATAACAATAGATTATTTTTTTATCCTAGACAATGAAATAACAGTAAGTTTAAAAAAACGCTAATGCGAATCAAAGTTGTTTTTGTGTGGACGGAGCGTTTTCATGGTTTTTCTCTTGTCAAAAGTCGACGTTATTGTCCTTAATCGCATCGCGAATCAAGTAATCCATGTTATTGGAGTGATTACATTTTCAGCAAATTAAATTGTTCAAGTTAGCGTGTCACTACTTATTATTTATGAGTAACTTAAATTTATGACTAACTTAACTATAAGTACTTAAGTAGACAACGGAGGAACAAACAGAAGTAATTAATAACTTAAAATTAATTATTAATAGATTACGTGTTACATGTGTGGCCGGACTAACTTAATTTGTATCGTTAATTTTTCAAGGTTTCGCAATTTTCCTTTCGGATTATATTAAAATTTGCATTTAATAACAATAAAATTGCGGTTTGAAAAATTTGATACTTGATAAATCTGATATATATATGTAGAAATCGCATTTTATTTCATTTCTTTCTAATGTAAGAAAAATAATCTAACCATATTTGCGACAATTTTTAAATTTAAATACTGGACAAACGTATGCTCAGAAGTTGGACATCTTAGAAATGAGTTTCCTCTAATCATATACTTGGCAATGTTTCGTATAAGATATATTTTTGTTCCGCAGAGTTTTGTAATAGATTTGCAATTTTTTATTTATAAGTAAAACGCGTTTCCACGTTCTTAAAATTTGTATAAATTAGGTTTATACATACATATATCTTTTTTATTTCATTCTCGTGTTAATTTCAGTTTTAGATTGAGTACTTTACAAAAAGATTACATTTTAAAAATACGCTATAAATTATGCACGTTTTCTTCTATTTGTAAATTCTATCATATTTTTTACATTTATTATTTTAGATTTATTTTTTCAATCTTGTCAAGTTTAAGATCAATAATGTTGCATTATTCGTACTCGGAATTATGCGCTGGCCTCGTCGATGACAGTAATCATTCTAGTGTTAGCATTAGGCGGTACATTCGTGAAACGCCACTTCGATTTAACTTCCTCCTCGTCAGCTGTCGATTGCACGCCGCTAGTTTGACCACAATTAGATTGACCGGTCTTGGATCGCGCCAAGGACCATCTGCGTCCACGGCGATCCATAATAATCGGCATCTCGGCGATTAAATTATTCTCAAATTCTGAGAGCATGAGATAGTTTTCGACCTTGTTACACGAGGTTATACAGTCTCCTATATAGTCGAAATCCTCTAGTAGATTATCAGGTAAATCCATGTCGGCGATACCTTCCTCCGAGATGCATGTAAGCTCCGGTTTGTTCGCTCCTAAAACGTCTACTGCCTCACCTGAAAAATGGGGTACATAATAATTGTGATGAATATATTACGCGTAATATCTATAATATAATTGTTACGCAAAATTCTATTTGCACTTTATAATTTGCTTATATATTATATATAGACTCTAGTCTCTACATAGACTAGTAAGTCTATATACATGACTATATAGACTTTAATAGACTCTAGTCTATTAGACTAGCGAAAATAAAATATTAATTTATTTAAAAGATTATAAATATATAAGAGCAATGAGAGAGAAAAAACTAGCTAGTAAAATTACTGTGATGATAGCGTGTATGTGTGTGAGATAGCAGTTACAAACAGATAAATTAATCTTGTATTTTTTATTTCTATTAACAATGTAAATTAAATTATGATAAATGATTAAAGAAATAAGAAGTAGAACCAAATGTAACAGCGCGATGATTAGAACTTGAGCTTAATTAAGAATTGTCGTAAATTACGTGTTATAACGCATTACATAAAATATATAGTGTCATTTAAAGAGGATTCTTTCCATGTGTTCCTCTTTTTTTATTCATAAAATTAGAAAAAAATACAAGACATATATATATACCTTGTACTGGAACAATGTCAGCTCCTAGAACGACTGCTGCGGCTGTCGCTCCGGCCGCTCCAGCAGCGGCCACGTGAGGTCCTTCGTTCTCGGGCTCCTGACTGAATGACGGTTTTCGTCGTTGAGGACAATTGTCTGAGGCGCATGTGTGTTTTGTACCATTAACTCTGTGTTTATGCTTGGACAAATTTCTTCTATGTAAATCGATGAAGAAGAGGGTAAAACTGCCAACTAAGACGCACGTTGAGCTAAAGTAGTAGCCAGCTTTACCACCGCATCCCATGTTTATATATCCTATGAATCATATTCAAAAAAAGATTCACACTCAATATATATAAAGCTTAATTTATAATACGTTTCCAAATATTTCCAAAACTTTATCTTTAAAAAATTTTGGTAGTAAAAGTTGACAAAAACTTACACAGCACGAATCATTTTTTATATATGTTGTAGAGGATACATTCTTAAGTAATACACGTTTTAAATTTTGTGGCGATCTCTTATGTTTGGAATATTTACATGTTTTTTTTATTATTATATTAAGAGCCAAATTCTGAATTTTATCAGCTGGTATTCTTTGATGTTTTATGTCTTTAATTTTCTTGTTATCACAATCTTTAATTAAACATTTAAAAAAGATACTATAATCAGTTTAAATTAATTTAAGTTAGTTATTTTAATAAATTTCATCCTTTAGAAATATTTATATAAAAAAAAAATTAAACATTTTATTTATTCACATAATTATCGTAATTGTTCTTTTATTTAAATGTATATATATTCTTCAATTTTATATTGAATAATAATGAGATGTATCTTGTAGAAAGAGTCAATGACTTTATAATGATAATTAAATTAATCAAAGAAAAGTCTCATATTCTCATGGCTATTTCTCCGCGTTCGTATATATATATATAGAATTTCATTTCTAGAAATAATCTCATCTCTAAAAATAAAAAATACTATCTCAACAGAAATCTCACATGAAAAATCAGAAAATTTATCTTGCCAAATATTTCCTGTTAATTTTTTCAATTCTTTTACAGCAAATTTATTCAAATTTTTTATTTTATTTTTCAATTTAATTCGCCAATTTTTTATCATATGATAAATGACAATTAAAAAATTAAAAAGCAACAAAAAAATATGATACATGACAACTACAAAATTAAGAAAACTCTGACATATTAAATTATCATCATGTTATCGTTACATCAAAATCGTTAAACCCGATTCTATGTTACATGCTCTATAAAAAGCGTAGGGAACAGAATGTACAATGTCGCGACGGAAGGAATCGCCACGATCTTTCAGACGATCGATGCCTACTCAAGCGTGTAGCAAAAGGTGCTCCGTGAAACCGTCGAAACTTTTTCCTATACGTCGCATTTATTTTACGACCTTCGCTACGGCGATGATAGTCTCTCCAATACCGATTTATCGCTGCTGGAACTTGAATTATTACATTCGAAACACTTTTTCGCGGTTTTTCTGTCTCACCATTTTCTATATGTCACAAAAAATGCAGATAAGGATAAAAATTTTGTCAGATTTAAATTATTCTTTTATATTTCACAATTCGAATTTTGTGCAGAATGAAATACCAACATATAATTTTAAAAATATATTTTCTGATAACATAAATTTGTCTTTTATAAAAAGATATCGAGACATCAATATATAATTATAAACGATTAAAATTAAATACTCGTTAAAAAAATTGGCTTTGAATTTATCAAAAAATGTATTGAAATGTGTTGTGCTGCTAATGAATTATTTTGTACTTTTTACTAAACTATAATAATATAAAATACATCTAATAAATATTGTTTTGTAATGGTAAACGAGATATACCTATACGTATTAGAAATCCTTTATTAGCGTTCATTACATATTACTATTAATGGGCGATCAATTCAGATTGCATGAAATAAATCACCGTGTGACATTCTCGCAAATTATACGGAATGAAGAATAAAGTTGTAAAACAGCTCAACAGTTTTTATCAAGTGGATGGCAAATAATCTTGAAGCAAATCAATATATGTATCAATTGAAAGTATCCCGCTTTATAATCGGCGCGCGATTTATGGTTAACGCTACTTATTTTTTAAACTTTCGTTGAAATCGATAAATAGCAATTCAATCGATTTTCTGTCAGAAATTTTGTGAGAATCGACAAATTATCATACTTAATTAGCCTTCTTCGCGCGAGAAAATTAAGTCCTTTGACTTAACTCCTATTTTTATATTATAATCGCATACTATTCGAGAAATTCTGGTTATACAACTAATTTGACCGAGGAAACTTACTTATCTCCCAAAATATATTTTGGCAGGCTAATTCTATTTTATTTTACTGTTATTGTCTGCCATGGCTCAAGGGGAGCGGTGACTCAACTCCGTTTAAATGAAGCTATCGCATTCCAGGCACAGGCATAACAATGATAAAATCGCGCCGATCGTCGACAAACAACATCGTTAGACACATAAAGGTTTCACCTCCCGAGTGGTCTCGTCGCAAACCCATCGCCCACGAAAGCACGTGGTGAACCCAAGTGAACAAGGGTATTGGACCACTCGCTTCCTCTACGCAAACTCGGCTCGTGAAGCGCGCGTCTCTTCTGATCCACCTCGGCGAACCCAGTCGACGTTTGGCAACGCGTCTCTCATCTGGTGTTCCGGCAACCCCTCCGATCGGAACACGCGATATACGCGCGCAAACGTGCCAATAAATTAATATCACTTCCGAAAAACTCGATGCGTTTGCTGTGTATCGTTCGTCGTAATTCAATACGCAATATAATATATCGTCATTATCATCAATATCGAATCACGGGTAAAATCGGAGGCATTCATCGCCTTCGATAATCAAATATAATTCGAGATGCGACAAGATGTGACAATCAAAGCAAAATGAAATCTTAAGGTACAACATAGTATGTTTATCAACTAGTGAGACAAGAAGAAAGATCGTTATTTCGAAAGAACAATCCAGTAAAGTGATCGTATTAGATGTCACGCATATTTTTGATATTGTTTCAATAAGATTTCGCGGTAGGTTTGGGTACCTGTTTTACATTGAAATTTTTATCATGGTAATGTGACTGGCACGCGAATTATAGTCGAGTTTTTTTTATTTGTGTTGGCGGGAAATTACATTGAATTCTTTCGATTGTAACATAAGTGATCCAGAATAAGAGAGAGTCAAATATCTATCTCTCAAATTTTTTAGACTAACATGCTGCCCGACGTTAATCTTTTAATTAATTTATGCAATCTTATAATTAGTTAACAAAAATTAATCGTAAAAATCTCTGTTTAATTCAATTATAAATTAAATTTAAAATTGATATAAACAATTGGAAAGTGTGTGATATAAATGCATCGCAACAAAATAATATTTCACAAAAATTTTTCTCTTTTAGAAAAGTACGCGCTTATACAGAAAAGTTGTTCTTTATATATGACATGTTTTATATTATTATATTCAAACTTAAATCAAACTATTTAATGTTTAGTAACAGTGTTTATTTTCGTTAATATATCCCAGAATTAATAATACTTGACAAAGATTTCTTTATGCAAAATGATATGCAACCACGTTTCATTAAAACTCACTCTGTTTTAAGCCCAAGTTAAACCAGAAAAACATATAATTTCGGAATCTGAAAAGATAATTTCGAGAAAGGTTCCTATCGTAACACAGTAAACTTTCTCAAATACGAGTTTCATATTAAATGTGAGATAAATGTATAACGCATACGTCGTTCCAAGCACTGCGAAGTCACGGGTCGTTTATCCTCTCTTAAAATCACACAATTGTTGAATTAGCAAGTGTGATAAAAGCGCGACACGCTCCGATGTCGCTCGCTCCTTTTCTCCTCAATTCTTCCCTTCCTTTTTTATTTCCTAGTCGGTTATATTGAATTCCGCCTTTCACTCACCATTCTGCAACCCCCCATCCCTAGCTTCCTTTACAGATTCTGTTTGCCTAGCTTTTAGCATAATGCACTTACACGTGTATATATCCACCGAACATGCCATGAACGCCACTATAAACGATTGAAACTCTCGACTAGAAACATGCATTATCTCACCGGTTCTGGTTAACTCACTTTGGTTTTGATTTTATCGCCCTTTACAACTATCTTATTTTTTTCCTCTTTGGTGTGTTAAATATCGTACAGAGCATAGTAAATTATATCATGAATTAATTTAAAATTAATAACTATTAATTTCAAAAGTCGTTTTGCTTCTTTTCCTCTCCGTTTAACTCTCTATACATCATCAACGTTATACAGATAAATAATGAAATAAATAACGAAAGGTTGTATAAAATTCAAATAATTGCAATTTGAAATCAACTTTTTACTATTTTCATCTGCAATTCGACAGAGAAAAATTTAAAATATTCATGTTTGATTTCATACTGGAATTTACGACTATAATTCCACGTTCAATTCAATTTCTAGTGTGTCATAAAAGAGCATTATTTCTGCATAATAAATGATGATATTATCGCGAACGATCAGTGACGCCGACGGCGGCTTATAAACTCGTATCATGACATACGAGCAGCCTCCGACGAGAATACACATCGTATCGATGTCGGAAAAGGTAATTAAAATTGCGTATCATCATCGGTGCCAAAGAGGATAGTCATCCTAAATCGCGGAATGAAGAACCGAATTGTTCAAAGTCCCGCTTATGAAGACAGCGGAGTCGCGATTTCCGGCGAACTCGGCGAGCCTTCCTTTTCCGGGGAATGTGAAGGAATAGTGTCCCTTCAAGCGCCGAAGGAAATCGAGGAAGATGCAAATCCTGATCCTAGGTTCGAATATATAAAGTATTGCAATAAACTGCTGAACGATCGAAATGTTCCATTTCGCGTCAAAATAAATTAAACAATATCTGAAAAATTTGTCTTGAATTTAATTGAATCTATCATTTTTATTAATTTATAAATTTTTCTAATAAAATTAGATTATTTCAAGAAAGATTAATATTTTTACTTAGTTATTAATATAAAATATTTTAATATTATATTATGCGATACTTATATATCTTTCGACAGCTTCTATTTTTCTAAACCAAACATCGCGCGCGTTATAAAACTATTTATAATAGTGATATCTAGTCATATGTCTCGGATGTAATTATGCGATCGGGGTTGGACGTGATCCTCGAATTTTATGTCAGATATGCCGCGCAATGCACCATAAGACAACATTATTACCCCGAAAACGGTTGGGGTTGGGTCATCGTCGTGACAGGTGTCATGGTACAGATTCTCGCCACGGGAATCCAAGGGGCTGCCGGAGCTTGGTTATTACTTGATGGAACAAAGCGATATCGTCAGACTCTCCTCAACGTAGGTACGTGATGCAGTAAACATTATTAACAATATCTTATCCAATATCTTATCCAACTTCAGCAAAGGTAATTGTTTTAAATTAACTGTACGATATACAAAAGAAGAAAACTATACTTGCGGCTTATTAAATATCTGTTTCGCGCAATATAATATAAAAAATATTTATATGAAAGAAAAATTTGATATTTTTATCTAATTATTATATTTAGATAGAAGTATGCATCTGCATTTTTTTAAATTATTATTTTTCTTTGCTATTAATAAAGACATAATAAAAATAAAGAATTAAGAAACATAACAGAATAAAGAAAGAAAAAATGACAAATAATTTATAGAAACACATAAGTTTCAATCTATATGAGATTGAAACTTATGTCTTGCAATATATGAGATGATATTATCTCCAATGCGAAAGAGAGACACGTCGAGAATATATTTTCAACATTTTATGAAAAAAGAAACAAAACACAAAATCGTAGTGATTTCCAATCCACTTTTAAACACAACGGCAATATTTTCAAGTCTATACGAGCTCCCTTCGTTATTATTATTTGCGAAAGATTGTATCACGAACGAATTTTTATCGTCCTTATAAAAATGGATTTTGCAAACTACAATTCATTTTTAACTGCTATCTTTAAGTTTAAAAAAATTTCGATGATGCTGCAACACGAAATCGTATCCCAAAAAGACCTGAAACTTTATGAGAAGCTAATTCAATCCGAGCGACTTAGCAGGAATTCGGAAGAGACAAGCGGAAATGAATGGCTCGTGTTATCTGGCAAGAATCCCAAGCATTTGAAGAGCAGAGAATGCTTTAATTGTTTTGTTTTGTTGATGACAAAAGATATATTTGCTAAATCTTTATATATGTTTGGAATATTTACATGTTTTTTTATTATTATATTAAGAGCCAAATTCTGAATTTTATCAGCTGATATTCTTTAATGTTTTATATTTTTAATTTTCTTGTTGTCGCGGTCCAATCTTTAATTAAACATTAAAAAAAAATACTATAATCAGTTTAAATTAATTTAAGTTAGTTATTTTAATAAATTTCATCCTTTAGAAATATTTATATAAAAAAAAAATTAAACATTTTATTTATTCACATAATTATCGTAATTGTTCTTTTATTTAAATATATGAAATATCATAATTTTTGTACTTATTTGTATCATCTTTTCGTTATATTTTATATGTGTGTTTATATTTCTTTATTTACATTTGCTCGTTATTATCAAAAGGAAAGTGAGATCTATGTTGTGTAAATTTTTATCAACTTCTACTAATTTTGTTTGCAAGTAAAATACTCAAGTGATCACAATGAGTGGAAAAATATATAATAGAATGTTTGTGCTCGTTGAAATGCATGAATATGATTACGTAAGTTTTTCTTATTACCCGATATTGGCACTCCGATCGCAATTGGTATCGCTTGAGAGCATTGGACAAAACCCCATGTTCTGGCGAAATTCCGCGCCCTCACTCTTTCGTACGTATACATCTTGAGGCTATAATGATAGCCACCGCAGAAGATACCTACAAAAAAACCAGCGTTTTTTTTTATTGCTCGTAATATGATCTCGAAAGACTTTTATGGTATGGGATAAAGAAAAAAAGGCGAATGAATCGCGCTACTAAATCCCTATTATCTTCTTTCATTATGGTAACTTTGGTAGTTTCCGCTCTTTGAATCATCAATTCAGACAAATTATCACAACTTTATTTATTATATCATATATATTAAATTGAGAACATACTTCCTATTATCACATGAAGAATTATCTAACATTTTTTTGTCTATTCGACATTTCTCACCTTTTTCAAAGATAGAGAGAAGAAAACCTTCTATTAATTTTTTTACAAATAAAAGTTTCACTTTACCATAAATCCACGCAAACATAACATATCCGTGGTAATTTCCTTGAGATGTTTTATCTTCGTTACTTCGAAGAAACAACGAAACAATGTTTGATCAATTCAGACAAATTATCACAACTTTATTTATTATATCATATATATTAAATTGAGAACATACTTCCTATTATCACATGAAGAATTATCTAACATTTTTTTGTCTATTCGACATTTCTCACCTTTTTCAAAGATAGAGAGAAGAAAACCTTCTATTAATTTTTTTACAAATAAAAGTTTCACTTTACCATAAATCCACGCAAACATAACATATCCGTGGTAATTTCCTTGAACGGCGGTGAGAGCGAGAATGCAGAGTCCGCATACGAAGACGGCCGCTTGTGTGAGATATTGGCGGGCTATCCTGCATTCGACGCTGCGATGAACAACTAAAAGACCGAATGCTACGCAGCCGAGAGTCCAAGCGAGTCCAAGATAAGCTTGCAGCAAAACAACTGTATCCCCGAGACCTTCCTCCTCGACTTGATGCGCCTACACAAAAAAAGTCATTTATTTTATGCCTCTTAAAGATTAAAATATACGTATATCGGGAGAGGGGCGGAGGGGCTGTTAACATTTATTTTTTACGGCTAAGTGTTAGAAAATATTATTAAAAAAAAAAAAAAAATA